CGCAGAAGTAGAGTTTGGCCGATCATCGTTCCGTTTGTTTATGTTCCAGGGAGGATTTCGATTGCAAATCCTGGACGCCCTCGACAGGCCGCTGGTCGATTTGACACCGGTGACAAAGAACAGCGAATTCGTCGAGGACGACGCCACGTGAGTTCATCGACGTCGCGAGAAGACACGAATAGAAAATGGAGAAACATGAATGTGTCGATTTTCAGGGCGCAGATCTATGCGGTGCATTTACCCCAGAATTTCACCTGCACGGACTGTACGATCCGACTTCTTCGCGAAGCGGAGGAGTGGGGCGCGAGCTACAGATTTTGGTCCTGCGCCGATATCGATGTAAGAGAGCTTGATCATCCCCGATCGGGACGATATATCCGATCGGTCGGGCATATTTGGTCCGATTTCGGGTTACAGTAATGTCTCCCTAACTGACAGATTTTGCACAAAAATGGATAATTTGGGGAGAGGAGATGCGATTATTCGAGCCTTGCGGTTCGTTTTTATAGTTGTTGATAGTTTGTAACTATAAAAACGAGCTGCAAAGTTCGAACAATCGCGTCTTCTCTTCTCAAATTGTCCATTTTGGTTTCAAAGCCGCGCGTCAATTAGGAAGAATTTGCTGTATAGTAATGTCTCCCTAACTGACGCTCAAATTGTGCACAAAAATGGACAATTTGGGAAGAGAAGATACGATTATTCGAGACCGATTGTCAACAACTATAAAAAAGAGAGCCGAGATGCTTGAATAATCGTATATTCTCTTCCGAAATTCTCTATTTTTGTTTCCAAGCTGAGGGTCACTTAGGAAGAACTTGCTGTATAGTAATGTCTCCCTATCTGACGCTCAGATTTTGCAAAAAATGAACAATTTGAGGAGAGCAGATGCGATTATTCGAGCCTTGCGGTTCGTTTTTATAGTTGTTGATAGTTTGTAACTATAAAAACGAGCTGCAAAGTTCGAACAATCGCGTCTTCTCTTCCCAAGTTGTCCATTTTTGTTTCCAAGCCGGGTGTCAATTAGGAAGAATTTGCTGTATAGTAATGTCTCCCTATCTGACGCTCAGATTTTGCAAAAAATGAACAATTTGGGAAGAGGAGATGCGATTATTCGAGCGCTGTAGCTCGTTCTTATAGTTGTTGACAATTCGAAACTATAAAAACGAACCGCAAGGATCGAAAAATCGTATCTCCTCTTCCCAAATTGTCCACTTTTGTTTGTAAGCTGAAAGAAAATTGGAGAGAATTGACTGTAATCAGTGGTATAACTGCACAAGAATTTCATTTCATATTATATTTAATTTTAGTTACATTTATATTAAATTCCATTCTATATCATCTTTCATACTAATGCATGTTCTTATGCATGTTCATATTCTTATTTCCTTCCTTATACAGTAATGTCTCTCTAATCGACGCGCTTAGATTGTGCACAAAAGTGGACAATTTCGGAAGATAAGATACGAGCCTTGCAGCTCATTTTTATAGTTGTTGTTGACAATTCGTGACTATAAAAACGAACTGCAAGGCTCGAACAATCGCGTCTCGTCTTCTCAAATTGTCCATTTTTGTTTCCAAGCCGGGCGTCAATTAGGAATAATTTGCTGTATAGTAATGTCTCTCTAACTGACGCTTAGATTTTGCTCAAAAATGGACAATTTGAGAAGAGGAGATACGATTATTCGAGCGCTGTAGCTCGTTCTCATAGTTGTTGACAATTCAAAATTATAAAAACGAACCGCAAGGCTCGAACAATCGCGTCTCGTCTTCTCAAATTGTCCATTTTTATGTCCAAGCCGGGTGTCAATTAGGAAGAATTTGCTGTAAAATAAAAATGGACAATTTGGGAAGAGAAGATACGATTATTCGAGACCGATTGTCAACAACTATAAAAAAAAGTGACGGGAAGCTCGAATAATCGTATATTCTTTTCCGAAATTCTCTATTTTTGTTTCCAAGCCGGGCGTCAATTAGGAATAATTTGCTGTATAGTAATGTCTCCCTAACTGACGCTCTGATTTCGCACAAAAATGAACAATTTGGGGAGAGCAGATGCGATTATTCGAGCCTTGCAGCTCATTTTTATAGTTGTTTTTGACAATTCGTGACTATAAAAACGAGTCGCAAAGCTCGAACAATCGTATCCCCTCTCCCCGAGTTGTCCATTTTCGTAGACAATCTAAGCGTCGATTAGAGAGACATTACTGTAGTTGCTGTACGTTGACGATGTATGATTTGTGTCGATTAGATCGTCGATAGGAAGGCCTACAGGGAAGATTGCAGCGGTCACGGCCGATATCTTCTGGGTCGTTGCAGATGCGATCGGCTGTATCATGGCGCTAGGTGCGAATTTAAGGAGGAATGCCTGGACGACTCGGATTGCGGTATCCAGGGCACGTGCATCGACAATGGCGGCACGACCGCGCCCACCAAGCACTGTTACTGCAACATTGGATGGTTCGGTCCTGGTTGCGCGAAAAGTAAGTTTCACCGTAGGATTTCGGATGCCGTCCAAGAAAGTTCGATCCAGTCGTTTAGGACGCACGAAGACACTAGGGCCCCACGCTCGGTGCGGGGTCCTTTTAGTCTAGACGAGCTACCGTGTTTCAAGAATATATATATATATATATATATAATAATATTAAAATTCATATATAATAATTCATATTAATAATAAAAAAATAATAATAATATTATTATTATAATTCATATATATTATAATTATAATAATAATAAAAATAATATATATGAATATATATATATATATATATATATATATATATATATATATTCATATATATTATATTATTATTATATTATATTATATTATAATATATATATATATATATATATATATATATATATATATAT